TCTTTCATGGTTGGTGCATGCCAAATTGATCTTTATTGTTATTGACAGAATGCTGGTTAAGGTTTTTGTAGGTGTGATCGTGTGCCTAGCTTACACTGAGTGGATAACCCATTTAGCATAGGCATGTTGTTAACTTTTTTCTTCTTTAATTCTTCTGTTTTAATGTTTTACTCACTGTTTATCTTATTTTTATTGTCACACTATCTTTTGTCTTTTTTTTAATTTTATTGATGGACTGCCACTTTGCCACTTCCGGGCAATTTTTGACTTTGACTTTGACTTAGCATGGCGTCTGGAATTGTGTTCGGTATATGGCAATAGGCTCATCCCCTATTACATGGAACTCATAACATAAATAGTGAAAAGTGGGTCTTACATTATATAGTGGCATTAATGTGCACTTCTGCTTACACTTTCCGGGATAAAAGACGTGATGTTATTTTATGTTAATTTATGCTGCATCGTGTCTGGTGCTGTATAAATCCTTTTTCTTCCTTTCAAAACCCTCAACTAACAAGTCTTTTTACTCGAAACATAATTTTACCTTGTCGTAAAGTAATTGGATTAAAATTAATTCGACTCCAATCACAACGAGTAATCGCGGCTTATGTTTGTATAATTTTAAACGTAATTGGCTAACAATATGAAACGCAAATATTTTATTTTTAAGTTTAAATGTAAAACAGTGAAGCAATTCAGTTAATTTGCGGTTACTGACAATTTTCAGTGCAAGTTGTTGTTACTGAGTTATTTTAAACGTGAAAATTTATATGATAGTAGTTTTAATTACCTAATAGTTATTATAACATGTTAAACACCTATTATTTGTATAATGTGCAAATATTTCTGTTTAAAATTTCCTGTTTTGTAGTTATTAACCATAACATAAACCCCAATACATATTTGGACAATTGTTTTACTCATTCAAACATTTAAATAACATATAAAATATTTGTATTAAATACTGCCTCGTTATCCGAGTGGTCGCAAGTGCGACTGCCGAGCAAGGGGTCTCGGGATCGATTCCCGGGTCGGGCAATGTAGATACTACTGGGTTTTTAATTCTCAGTAGTAGCACGGAGTCTGGAATTGTGTCCGGTATATGGCAGTAGGTTCACCCCCTATTACATGGGACTCATAACATAAATAGTGAAAAGTGGGTGTTACGTTATACAATGGCATAATGTGCACCTCTGCCTACCCCTTCGGGGATACAAGGCGTGATGTTATGTTATGTATGTATTAAATACAGTGGAATCCGTTTTTAACGTCGATGTATAGAAAATGTGAAATTTTGGTATATAACGTAGAAAATACAAATATTACATGTTGGTTTTTCTATATACCGTTTCTAAACTATTAGCCTGATGAGTTGTCTAACAAACTATGATGTTAACTTTAAATAATAAAGTAAATTAAGTGTAAGAGAGTCGAAGCACGAATGGGCTGGCTCGACTGGAGTGATACCAAGGCCTCACAGAAAACCGACGTGGAACAATGCTTGCGTTGTGTTTCATCTTGTGTGCGTGAGGTTACCGGAGGCCCAATTACCCCCCTCTTCAATCGCCTCAATCTCCGAATTGCCGACAATCCTCAAATTCCTAATCCCCGAAAGGCCGGTTACGAATTTGTAACACCTCTGGTGTTTCGGGTGTCCTTGGGCGGCGCCGATTTACCATCAGGTGATACGTCTGCTCGTTTAGCGATATATTTCATAAAAATAACAAAGTTAAATAATACACAATTTTCTTCATCAAACCCCTTCACTTCAAACAACAACTAAAATCTATAAATAGAAATTAAGGTCTGTATAATTTATGATAAGTAATTCTGCTTATCTAACAGCTTGAACAATTTATAATTAAATTAGATATCGCTGTTTGGCGCCCAACACTTGTACAATAATGATAAGAAGGAGATCCCTGCAGATGAATGGCCGCCTACGCGCTACGCCGTAGCACGCCTACGCGCTACGAGCCGCCTACGAATCAGACAGTGTAGTCTTAAAATGAGAAAGTACCGTAGTTCCATTGTGTACAGACGCCATCAAACATTTTATAACTTTATTCAAATGGGTACTTTACTGTATTGAAGATTGAATTGTTTTTGCTTATAAGTTTACAGTGTTATGTTCTATTCTTCTGAATTAAAATAAAATGAGATGTTTAAAATCTGACGCAAATGTTGATTAATCCGAATAAATCCGTATCTGAGCTTCAATAGGATTAAGTGGTATTCGAAAGGCTTGAATTGTAATGAAGTTTGTTTAACGCACAGAATAAAGTGACGATGAATGAGAACAAATTTTCTCGCGACTTTGTTTTTGTCTCAAATCGCTGAAAATGTTTGTTTGTTTAGTTTTCCCCATCCGACTACAGTATTTTATATGTATAAAAATATTTAATGTTCTATAGCTGGAGAATAACATTTACCAACAGGTTTTGAAAAAATCATTTCGTAATTTACAAATGAAATTATTTAGCGCAACTTAATTTCACTTTCCCGGAAATCAAATATTTAATAACTAAAATAAATACGTTGGGGTTGTCGTATGCGTGTAGATAAAAAACCTAATAATATAAAATACGGCATTGAAAAACATTAACTAAAAATCACAAGTTACTCAAGTGAATATACTGAGAAAAGCTCTACTCGTTTCGCGAGACAGTAGAGTAGGCTGTGCGACATCGCCACTAGCGCACGCTGGGCATGAGGAAGAGCCCCTTTGTAGCCCGAAACTAGTAGAGCTTTTCTCAGTATATTGACGTTTTTTGTCAATTTGGTATATCTCATTATTTATTATAAAAACAAACCAAATCTTCTTTCTACTTACTAAAGAAGAAACTTACTATTACTTACTTTAAAGAAATGATAGTAAAATAATATTTTCATGCTTCTGTACTACCTGTCTAACGTCACCGTGTACAATAATGTGCGTTTGTGGGTGACCACCCACTCACACGAACGTGATTCGTTTGATATTTCGATCGTTCTCATGAGTCGTACAAAGTACAAATTATTCACAAGTCCGGTTGAATTAGTTGCGCTTTTGCGTTTGTGTTTTAAGTATTTTCCTTGTATGGGGTTAATATATTTCATTTTGAAGGATTAAAGTATGATATAGGGTTCGATAAAGTGTTGAAGTACTATTTGTTAAAATATTTGCGTCGGCCACTGTCCACTTTAGAATCAGCTGTTTAGATTATTGTTACATTAAATAATATTAAAATTTATTTTTAGAAACTGGAATACACATCTATTTATAAATCTCATTAATTATTCATCCGAGTACGTCGAATAACCTTCTATATATATAATTAGTAAACCTAATCATAATCCAACCTTTTTTACTTTCCTACTTCCAGAAATAAAAATACACACAGGTTGTATTTCCCAATTAACTCACGACATAAAGTCAGTGAACGTTTAATTAATACCTCAGATATAAATCAGGGTAACACTTCTAATTACTGACAGTTTCGGTAGTTTGGGGTGCTATTGTACACCATGGGGTGCACTGCCTTGTCGGAAGGAAGACGTGAGTACAAGGGGTCAGAAAGACCATCAATCTTCGCAGATTTACGGCTTCAAAACGACCAGTTTATCTCACAGGCCGAATTCCGGATAACTACAGCCCACGCTCTCATATTCACGGAAATGTATATTATAAATCTTTGGTTTTGAGGTAAAAAATGGAATGGAAGAAAGGAGATTCATTTCGGTCATTTGTTCTTTTGGGAGTTGGAGTATTAGGTGATGTGGCATTGTTACATTTGAAAGTTTAAAAAAATATTTAGAATACATAACGTAACTAAAGAATCATCAGCAGTTAAACGAGAGGTGACGTAATTTAATCAATTTGTTTAAAAAAATTGGTACAAATGAATCGATTAAGATAACAATTATAATTTTTTCAAGATATTTGGAGAATAAGCACGTCATATAAAACTATAACAACATAACATCACGCCTTTTTATCCCGAAAGGGGTAGGCAGAGGTGTACATTACGGCACTTAATGCCACTGTACAATGTAATACCCACTTTTCACTATTTATGTTATGAGTCCCATGGTAATAGGGGGTGAGCCTATTGCCATATACCGGGCACTATTCCAGACTCCGTTCAACTACTGAGGTTTTTTGAAAAAGCCCAGTGATACTTTGCCCGACCCGGGAATCGAACCCGAGACCCCTTACCCGGCAGTCGCAATTGCGACCACTCTGCCAACGAGGCAGTCGATTATTTTATTAAATAGTATAAAAGTTTGACCATCGGTACAATTTAACTAGATACTGTATTGCTGGAAGCCATTGATCCTATCAATTTATTAGCAGCTTGTACTGCGACTGTGATTGAAAACAGAGATTTACAAACGTAGAACATTTCCACATTTCTTCCTATACATAATCCTTTGGAAAAAATCAACAAACCGACCCTTTTCCGTATTAACAAAGGGAGATAACAATATGGGTCACCATCGGTAACGTCATTTTGTTCCAGCATTCATTTGAACCGCACATTTTTAGCCGCTACGCCATTGGTTACAACATCAACCTATACTTAACCAGTTTATCATGGTCTAACTTTGTATTATTTTCTGGACATTCGAATGTCAATGTTTACTGGTTTTTTATAACTTGATATGCTGCCGCATGTACTAATGAGTTGAACTTATTACAAGCCATTTGTGTGAACTGAATAAATAAGGGCAAACATATGTGTTCCATGCTTTTGTATATTTTATTCAATGCTGTTTGTAGATGGTGTAAGTCGTGAATGGGGGAATGTGAATTATGTTGTAGAGTGTTGTGAAGTGGTTGCAAGTTGAACGTGGCTTTGTTTTTTTTTAATATACAGTTTTATATTAAAAAAACAACAAAGTCTAAGCATACAAAATGTACGGACGAAATTACAGTGAAAACCTACATTTCTTTTTTTTAAACTTAACTTATTTCATTAAAAACACCACTCTATTCATATCGCAATGTCGCGGTGAACCTAACGGATTACCGGGGCTCCGGCTCGACGTGCAGGAGAAGGAACGGGGTGGTTTTTAGTCAGTAAGAGTCTGACACTCTCTCCCGCCTCACCCAGGCGGGAGCAGTTCGATGATTTTCCACCCTTAAAAAAATATTTCGCAATAAAAATAATCATGACATTAAAGTAAAATATTTTCTTAATACCCGACATTACCCTTTACTACGACTATATTCGTTCGACAGAATGTCATTAAAAATAAAAAAAACATGAGCCACCCACAGAAATACATATACCCCTGATACATCGTTTGTAAAACAATCTTTCTAAAAATAACAACGTTGTACTATTAATGTTACTTCTACAAACGCTATTTCATTCGGAGAAGAAAGGACATTACTCTCTCGTTACAGACGTATTTTTCGTCATTTGTCTCCCATTGGGATAGACAGACACAAAGGTAATGAAAGGAATATGAGTCTTCATGGCTTGAAAGTAGTCGAGTTCCTCGTCAAACAAGTTAAATCTGTAACCCAAAAACATAATAATTAATTCAGAGACAAGAAAACTCTGGCAAATAGTTTTGTGAATAGAAATCATGCAACACATACAATCATCATAATAATCAGCCACAAGATGTTGACTGCTATATACGTAGACCTCCTGAATTCCACGTTGACCTTCAATCAGAAGACTGTTACGCAAATCGAGAGGTTTTACTTAGCAAAAAAGGTGAAGGTTTGACTTTAATCGCCAGTCATACAAAATATTCTTATTATTAATTTTTTTAGATTCCAAAACTAATATACTAAGTCAGATTGGACATGACACTATCATTCAATTCAAAACAAATAGTTAAAATGTGTAGAAAAACATCGTCTAATCAAACCCAAAATTTTAAATTGAAACGGATTCTTAATTCGATGATAGATCAAATCGACTGCACGGTTGGCGCGGTGGCTGGACAACTGGGTGCCGTACAACGTGTCGCAAACTCGATTCCGGTACGGAACAACTCTTTATGTGGTCCACAAATTGTTGTTCTGGGTCTGAATGTCATGTGTGTTTGTAAACGCACCTACGACACAGGAGAAAACCCTAGTGTAAGCAACTTTTTTTAAATTGCGAAAAACAAAATAAGAAGAAAAAAATGTTGTACAAATTAGACCGAAAATAAAACTAACAATATCACATGAGCACTTTCAAAACACCATATTTGAACATTGTCGTTATAACAAAGTTGCTTGAACAAGGTTTGAGCTTTCACTCGAGCTTGTGGAAGTAAAATGATAGAACAACATCGTATCACCTGCTGCCTGCAGCCCAATCAATCAGTATCCATCAAGAAATACCATCAGTTTAATGGATTTAGAAACGTACAACTGAAACTGAAATGCATGGGGTTTAATTAATATCTATTTCTGGTTTGCTTTTCTGAAAAGGGTGGAAGAGTAACCTGAAAACTATTTTTTGGATACAGTTTTGTTTAAAACATACATAAATAACTGTCTTTTTACTCGGCCAACGAGGCAGTCAAATTTAGGCAGTTATAGAATTCAAAATCATAATTTAAATGATTTTAAACATACACAAGACTCGTTGGCCGAGTGGTCGCAAGTGCGACTGCCGGACAAGGGGTCTCGGGTTCAATTCCAGAGAAGAGCAAAGTATTACTGGGTTTTTACAAAATTCTCAGTAGTAACACGGAGTCTGGAATTGTGCCCGGTATATGACAATAGGCTCACTCCCTATTACATGGGACTCATAAATAGTGAAAAGTGGGTATTACACAGTACAGTGGCATTATGTGCCGTAATGTGCACCTCTGCCTATCCTTTCAGGAATAAAAGGCGTGATGTTATGTTATGTGATGTGATTCTAAACATATTTGGTCCACAATTCGAACTCAGATCAAGTTGAATTGTTTAAAAGCTGTATCGAACCATCAAATTACCCAATTATGTGGCCTCGGTGACATTTAAATTCGAATTCAACTGACGATTTCTATTACCTACTAATGAAACCGGCTAACCGGGTTAACCGGAATGGATAAAGTTTAACGGGTATTTTCAAAGTTATTGAAGTGGAAAAATAATGGCGGAGTTTTTAAGCTATTTAAGCTAATGACTGCTAATGCTGTAATTTTTCTAGGTAATCCTACTTGAAGTATAAAGTTCACACTTTTTCTCCAAAGATTTTTATGACGTCGTTAAAAAGTAATAGCATTATGACGTTATATCTCAAATGTGAGACAAGAAACGTCCTTTTACCATCATTCCTACTATTCGTCATTTTAGAGGTACAATCGGAGGTTTAATCGTAACGTAATACCGTATATACTATATAGAAAAAAAGAAAAAGTATTTATTTGGCAAATAGGCACACAAATACAAAGATTATAGAAAAATAAAATACAGATAATATAATACAAAATAATAATGATAAACTTAAAAGATTAAAAAAGAGCAAAAACAACAACGTGTAACAAAATATGTACAATACATTACACACAAAAAAAAATATAAAAAAATCAAGATATAAATAATATTCTTAAACATAACGTTCACCTCACACCTCAGCATAAAGTTGATTCATACCCAACGCTGGTTTTAAGGTGGCACCCTGCATAATAAATATATCATTAAATAGTAATAACATGTGCCATTTTAGACTCTGTTGGTCAGAAAAACTTAAGATTATAATAATAAACCCAGGAATTCAACCTGAAAACAATTCAGCAACCTACTTAAACAAATATTAGCTTCATGTTCCACGCCGGAATTAATCAGCGACGCGTAATGACAGCTAAATCCCTCCGTTAATATATATTGAAACAAACTTAACCATAATAATACATTCATCTCATTTCGTGTCATATTGTATAAATTTATTTCAAGTTAAATTACCTTTCATTTTACCACATGAAAGCCAAAATATTAATTAATTGAATTACTTTTCCAACTCTTTGCATAAATAAAATTCATGCAACATGCGTGTTTTCGTACATTCTCGTTTTCGTCATAATATGTCAAAGAAATCAGTCAATATTTGTCGAATATAATGAATCGTAAAGTACAAATTTTAGCCTAATATTATAATACTATAATAGTATTGATAAACAACTTTTTTTAAATTTTTGTACCGTTTAAGAAAATTTAAAACAAATACCATTTGATGGCACAAATTCAAATCATCATGCAAAATTCATAGACATTACTATCGTTTTTAACAATCCAAAACACATATTGGGACTGCGTGGAAAATAGCCTATTAGAAAAGGAGATGTTAGCATAATTCCACCTGAACGATCTAGAAAATGAAGGCACAATATTCAGACATTAAACTTTTAAGCCCTAAAATTTTACTATTTATCATACAACCAATTGTTAGCCTACAGTCTAGACACAAAACTTTAAAGTAGACGGAGACTAATAAAATTCAAACTTCTAGTACTTAGACAGTTTTAGAAATAAAAATGGTACACTTGTATTAAGTCCGCGACCCCAAGGAAACAATATTTCATTTGCGTCGTCGCGCGTCCTCGTAAAAATACAAAGTTAACAAAGTTTTCTTTATGAATATTAACGACACTTACTTGAGACATAAATATGTATTTAAAAAGTAAATTACGTACTTAAATTTGTTTTGTTTCGTCATAACCCTGAGAGGCTGGTGTTACATTACATTTGTTACGGAATGTCTCAATGGTTTTGCTTGTAATTAAGACTTTAATGAACCTTATTTTAACAATTATGTCTTTCGGCGTTCTCAAGTAATTATTTGACGAGGAACTCGACTAGTTTCAAGCCATGGTAAAGACTCATACTCATGAGCATCATTCCGCAACCCACGATGCCATATTACGTATACCTAATAATTACTTGAGTAAGCCAAAAAACGTAATAATTAATTTAGTATGTTACACGAAAGTTATAATACATATAAACATTGTTTTAATTAATATGTTTAAATGAACTGATTAGAGTTGCAAAGTAATACTTAGTATTCTGTAATGGTGTTAGTAAATCCGTAGAAACATTGGACATTGAAAATTGGTGACTGACAAAATTTTTACTAATAAAAGTTACTACTCTTCTATTACTAATTACTATACTTACCAGGTGACATTAACCCACTGCAATCTTATTCTATCTTACTACTAAAACATCAGGTATATTCTCAGCCCAACCTAACACAAAACTCATAGCTCTGACTATCGCACGTCAGTAATACGCCCGATCTTGGCAAATACACGGTTTAATCTCACTGAGCTAAAACAAAGCTACCAGTCTCCTGGGCCTCATATGACATAACGTGACGAATATTCCGGATCCCTTTAATTTAATACCCCACGATCCGAGGCCGACGTCCAACTAATTCAACACAGTTGCCATTTTGCAACATAAATCTCTGGGACACCACCGTGGTTACGTTTTTGGGCCTGAATATTTCCCGTGCCTGTTAATAACTTGATAAGATTAAAGTTGTGTGTGTATGTGTGTATGTATGAGAGACACGTAGAAAGAGGTTTTGTCTAATTATTTTTTGTTATGAAACTGGAAAGGACGGTTCAATTCAGCAGCTTTCTAACAAGCAATGTGTAGGTACTTCGCTTACAATGCCTTACTATCAGGCGGGTCGCAAAATTTGTTGCTATCAATCGTAGGAGTACCTATAAAAATTGTTGTCCTTATCTTTGACTGGTTAAATAACCAAAGCAGTGTGAAGACCGCCCGTAGGATACGTTGGAGCAAACGGTGGCGGTGTGCCCTGCGTGGGCTGAGTACCGCCATGATCTCAGGGATGTGATCAGCGACGGCGACCTCTCGCGTCCGGCTCCGGTTCAAGCAATGGTGCGGAGCGTGCAGAACTGGGATGCCATCTCCTCCTTCTGCGAAGCCATAAGACCACCACATGATGGGGATGGGGCCAGTAGGGCTGATGCCGATACGTCACCGCGGAATGCCTAACGGTTTGCCGGCTCCAAGAGCAGGTGTAGAAACAAGGTGATTTTCACCTTCGTTTTCAAGGTGGTCAACAACCAAAAAAAAAGCAGTCTCAATCTATCTATACATATAATAAATCTGTAGAAAAGTAATTTTTGTACATTGAAGAAATTGACAAAAAAAATAGCCAGCGTGTTAAAAAATAACTAACAGAACCCATTTCCATCATTTTTGAAATTTTTGTCTGTTTGTCTGTTTGTCTGTTTGTTTGTGCGCGCATCACGTAAAATCTACGAATTCAATGCAGACACTGCTTATATACAAAAATTCTACGAACCTTGAGGTATAACTTAGTTTTTGTTTCATCGAAATCGGTTCACTCTATCAGAAGATATGATTAATTTAGTGAGTTCAAGTAAAATATTACAACACGCAATTCAGTATAGAACTCGAAATAACATCTTTGGAAAAATTGGTTTCGTTTGGTCATTGGTTTGAAGTCCGAAGTAAAGATACTACTTGATATTATAAACAAGTAGAATTTTTTTGGAGGTGGGAACATCATCGAAGCCTGCTCCCGCCTGGCTGAGGCGGGAGGGAGTGTCAGACTCTTACTGACTAAAAACCACCCTGTTCCTTCTCCTGCACGTCGAGCCGCGCCCCGGTTACCCGTTATGTTCTGCGACTCCGAATCGGCATCGGCCCTGTTGGGCCCCATCTGTGGTGGTCTGATGGCTCTTTGAGGCGCGCGCGGAACGCGACGCGCCGTACGCTCGGGTCTGTTTCTGGTCGGACGGAGAGCCACCCATGCTCGCCGTCCGCAGGCCCGCGCTTACAGTGGCCGGAGATCGTCCCGCGATCCCCGACGCCCGGTGTTTCCTTCGCGATTTTTCCGTTGCGAGGAGGTAGCGCTTCGCTGCCTCACGCGTCCCGCCTCCTCCTTAGCTAGCATGACTGCTTCGCAAAAGGAGGAGACGGCATCCCAGTCCCCCTCGCTCCACATCATGGCCTGTACTAGGCCCGGACGCGAGAGGTCGCCATCGCCGATCACTTCCCTGAGGACACGGCGGTGCTCAGCCCACGCAGGGCATTCCCCCACTGTGTGTTCTACGGTGTCCTCAGGGCGGCCCTCGCAGTAATGACACCCGGGCGTTTCCTCCCGCCCCATCAGACACAGATACCTCCCGAAACTTCCATGTCCGGTGAGAACCTGCGTCAGGCGGTAGGTGAGGACGCCGTAGCGTCTCTCAAGCCACTCCTCAAAGAGGGGACTTACCGCTGCAATGGGAGCGAGCCCAGCTCTCGGTTGCGACAGTCGTTGCTGCCATTCCGCCGTGAGATCGCGCCGGAGCTCATCCCGCCACGCACCTATCTGGCGCGGCAGCGGAGTTTCGCCCCGGCGACGTGCCTCCGCGCGCATGCAATACACGCGCGCGAGCAGCTTCGCCTCCAGATCCCACGGCGGTAATCCGGCAAGGAGGTTCGCCGACTCCCCGGAGATCGTAGAAGTAGCAGAAATAGCAGTTGCTACGAATTTCGACTACTAAGTTGCGATCTCCGTTCATTAATATCACTTATATCTTTATTAACGTAAATAACTTTTTCCGGTCAATAGGGCCTTACTGTAAGTGCTGTCACAGTCTATACAGTCGTCCAAGTCGCGGAGAACCTAACGGGTAACCGGGGCTCCGGCTCGACGTGCAGGAGAAGGAACGGGGTGATTTTTAGTCAGTAAGAGTCTGACACTCCCTCCCGCCTCACCCAGGCGGGAGCAGTCTTTCGATGATTTTCATTCCTTCAAAAAAAAAAAATACAGTCGTCCAAGGAAGACGTCTAGACAGGGCAATCGTGCGGGGTGTGAAGGGCGAGATGCGGGTAGGTCGATCCCGAGCTGCGAACAAAACGATGTTAGTAGCTCGGAATATATTATTCAGGGCTAACGCGTGTTTGTGTTTACCGACTTCAAAAAAAGGAGGAGGCACTATGTTCGAATGATTGTTTCTTTTTTATGTATGGTTGCCGTTGCATGAAATTTTTAATTTATCGTCATGGGTGTCGTTTTCATGGTTTTCGAGGGTAGTAAACCCGATGGTGCTGTCAAAATGTAAATCCAAGATGGCAGCTGCACGAAATTTTTAATTTATCGCCATGGGTATCGTATTCATGGTTTTCGAGGGTGGTAAAACCGATGGTGCTGTCAAAATGTAAATCCAAGATGGCGGCTGCCTGAAATTTTTAATTTATCATCATGGGTATCGTTTTCATGGTTTTTGAGGGTGGAATTCGATGAAAATGAAGGCGCTGTCAGAATCTAAATCCAAGATGGCGGCTGCATGAAATTTTCAATTTATCGTCATGGGTGTCGTTTTCGCGTAACTACATTGTGTTTGGGTTTGTGTAATTTGTATTGAATAGAACTTTGCACCTATGTGGATTATAAGTGGCAAAACTAAAAATGATATAATATAAAAAACCGCGTTTAAAAAACCGACCTTTAAAAAAAACTAAAATCAATTAAAAACTAAAAACTAAAAAGCAAAAAAGTAACCATATTAGTACTGATGGGCTACTCACCCACTGACCGACTTTTAGTTAGTACCATAAGTCCATATTTATGACAACCCTGGCCGATGCGTTACTGTCTAGACTCTAGACGATGTCGGCATTTTATACGAGATCAAAGGTCATGAATACGAACGGAACGAATAGGGACCGGGTTTCTGCTTACATACCCAGTATGCGTACTGGTAAGCTCAAACCAGGTATTTATACCTGTATGTGTAAATACGTATCATCCCTAAAGTAGAAGTATTTACTTCTGAGTTTGAATAGTGCCAATCGTTACAGTGAGTGCAACAAATTCGTTAAGTCGTGACCACGAACTGACGATTTGCTATCATACGAGACTGTTCGACGCACCGATCTTTAAAATTTTGTCGATTTTGTATATTGCTTTGATATTTACCTTAAAAATGCGTCATAGAAAAAAAACAAAAACCTTTTTGTATAATGCTCCGGGGTAATTCAACCGCTAATCTATTATATAGGGAAGCATTAACGTAATCAACTAGATACCAATATTACCAAATAAAAATGTACTATAATCAGGATCTATATTGGCAAAAAAATACTATACCATCTTCTTGAGTGGAGTTCATATGTATATAGCCTACTGTTATCTGAACGATGTCGTTATGTTTTCGACTACCACGCGAACGAAGTCGCTGGCACAGCTAGTTCATAATAAATTCTGATTTATAATATTTGTAACAAAGTCACACTCTCTTACTAACAAAGTAACACGCAAATATGTATACGCAGCCTCAAGTTATGTATAAATCTAATACATTTTGTCTCACGGCTGTATCAAAAAGGGTTCCCATGGGATAAGCCAAGAGTAAAGCCGTCGGTTAAAACTAGTTAGGATAAATGTGAGTCTTTTATCTTCCAGCCATTACGAACTCCTTGACAGCTCATACGTGTCGTTTGGCAAAAATTCCAACAGATATTCATAAAAGTTTTGATATTTGAACACGTTCGCGTTCGTATAAAAAAGGTACCGAATAGCTCCATGTGATTTTTTGTGTACCCTCGAAACTAGTAGCGGTTGCTGCTTCGGTTCCATTTTCATTAATTTGTCCTTTGTCTTTCCTATAAAGATATGACACATTGTATCAGACACACACACACGATGATTTTTATTACTATTTGTGGCATAGTGTGGTAATCGAAGATATAGATGGAGCTCCTGAGCAATCTATTTAACGTAACTAAAGTTACTAGAGCAGAACAAAGAGTATTTTTTGGGAGAGCCATGCTTCAGCACGAATGGGCCGGCTCGACCGGAGTGACACCACGGCCTCACAGAAAACCGACTTGAAACAACGCTTTTTTTTAAGGGGGGAATATCATCGAATGACTGCTCCTGCCTTGGCGAGGCAGGAGGGAGTGTCAGACTCTTACTGACTAAAAACCACCCTGTTCCTTCCCCTGCACGTCGAGCCGGAGCCCCAGTTAACCCTTAGGTTCTCCGCGACTCCGATTGAAACAACGCTTACGTTGTGTTTCGTCGTGTACCCCAGTCATGGTGATTTGTACACCAGTCATGGTTAAGCATGTTGATACAAACAATACTGTACATCTATATTAAACATCAATTTTTGCATGTATTATTATTAAAGCCTACACATGTTTTGGCAAATAATCCTTATCTTTATCTGTGAGTAACCTACCGGAGGCCCAATTACCCCCCTCTCCAATCAGCGAATCCCCCACAATCCTCAAATTCTCAATCCCCAAAAGGCCGGTAACGCACTTGTAACGCCTCTGGTGTTTCAGGTGTCTGTAGACGGCTCCGATACCATCAGGTGATCCGTCTGCTCGTTTACCGGCTTTCCCTATAAGAAAAGAATTCTTATTTACTGCACACACCCATGCTGTAAAAAAGCCTCCTTCCACATCCTCTGTAAAAAAAAATCTCCTCTATAATGAATATTCTTTTAAATATTTAGTTGAAGCCCCATTGCCAGGAATTCACTCATCCAATCGTTTCACCAATGAACCAGCTGCTAAACTTAGTAAAATCTTTTGAATACATTATCCTCCTTTTATTTTAACTAGAAGTGTTTATTCTCGGATTCACAGCTTTTAATAGACTACTGGAGATAAGTTAAAAAGGCTGCAAAGTTCCTTTTCAATTCTGAAAAGTTTATTCTGGATAAATAACTAAAACTGTATCTGAGTTTCGATGGAAGCATCATTTACTAATTAAGAAAATACTTCTTTGGTTTTTAAATAAATGACGCCATTAAAAAATGTTTACGAATTTCCAACTGTAGCGTTTTCAAATATACAGACATGACACAATTGGTCATGTATGTTTAATGATAACTAATACATACATTACAACAACATAACATTATGCCTTTTATTCTCGAAGACTATGCAGAGGTGCACAACATGGCACTTAATGGTACTATACAATGAAACACCCACTTTTGACTATTTGTGTTATGAGTCCCATGTAATAGGGGGTAAGCCTTTTTTTTTTTTTAAGGGGAGAAAATCATCGAATGACTGCTCCCGCCTGGGTGAGGCGGAAGGGAGTGTCAGACTCTTACTGACTAAAAACCACCCCGTTCCTTCTCCTGCACGTCGAGCCGGAGCCCCGGTTACCCGTTAGGTTATCCGCGACTCCGAATCGGCATCGGCCCTATTGGGCCCCATCTGTGGTGGTCTGATGGCTCTTTGAGGCGCGCGCGGAACGCGACGCGCCGTAGGTACGCTCGGGTCTGTTTCTGGTCGGACGGGGAGCCACCCATGCTCGCCGTCCGCAGGAGGGGGTAAGCCTATGGCCATATATCGAGCACAATTCCATACTCCGTGTTACTACTTAGATAGTTTCCAAAAACCCGAGATCACTTACCCGGCAGTCGCACTTGCGACCACTCGGCTAATATGACATTACCGGCAACAAGTACTTATATGACAAGAAATTGTAATGAATAAAATTAAATGGTTCATAGAAACAGTTAAGAGAACAACTTGGCATTGCAAGTTTATGTTAATTAGTCGAGTATGCCTTTATTAAGTTCTAACGTTGGATGTAAGCCAGGCTAATGAGGACCTAGAAGTGTTTTAAGAAGTGATAATTTTATAACTGTTGATTAAAATTACATTGCAAAATAATGCGTCTCGGATTCGATATCACTATCAGATTATATTATATCAGTCACATTGCCCGCCACCAGTCACATAACAAATTATTTGTTGTTGGTAAAATGGAAGGAAAAAGACCATGTGACCGATCATCCAGCCGATAGTGTTACCAAGCTACCAATCACACTGGACTCTCTGTTACGAAAGCCCTGAGAGAAGCCCTAAACAGGACAAGATAGAGGGAAATAACACAAAGCAATGAAAACCTTTCAAGGGTACCTTCAGAAATAAAGCAAACGATCGAGAAGAGATCAGATTGTAGATTGATGAAGCTATAGAGAAACAAGCTATTACAGCTAGCAAGCTATGAAAGCCATTGCAGGAATTTCGCATAAAGCAGAACTTTCTCAAAAACAGAAAAATAACGTACAATGAGATTCTCTTTATCATTCTTTTATATCTGCTTTCGTGGAATATATAAATATGTCGTCATATTTTATATAAAACACTTTTCAAAAACGAATTCTCACAAATTCATCAAAGAATTCCTAGACTATCTATTGTCTTTTATTCGAACTAAATAATACCTGAGAGAACAGAGAACACAAAGCCGAAAAAAGTCCCGATCCTTTTTGCACGACACAAGGCTTAAACAAAGGTATCTAACAACGCGGAGATTCACTAATTCGCCCCAACAATTTGTTAACTTTCTCGTTCGACCAAATAGAAGAATAATTCGAACCAAAGCCGAACCATTTAATTCCTATAATTATTGTCCTGTCCCACCGATCGGACGTAATGTCTGTAATTAATTCAGGAATCGAATGTACACGAGCTATGCAAAACCAGTATAAGCTGACCGTCTAATGTGGGAAAGATCATATAAAATGAGACCAGGATAATCTGGATTTGTATAGCTCGACATGTAGGCGTGTGAACAGCGGTCAAGCAGGTCGATCTATTCCTTTCATTCAAATTTCTTTATTCGTTTTTCAGCTTCATTGTTTTTGATATAAAGTCGAAAATCTAATAAAAGAATGAAATGATATTTATTTCTGCAAATAGGTTACAAAATAACACTTTTACACGTCAATAAATAGAGTAGTGTAGGTTAATGTGCCAGGTAATGGTAACAGACGGATCCTACATTGTTTACAGATGTGAATTATGTTAGTCTATGCAAATCATTGATTGATATATCACATTGGTGAAACATGTGCTAGTTTTGATTGAACAGCTGAATATCATTTGTTAATTCTATGCAGTAGCGTTAATGAGACATTGTTATAAATAGAGATTATACATTGTACTTTATTATTTATTATAGGGTTCTTCTATAATTGGTACTGGGTAAACATATTATGTGGCGAATATATTTTTTATGGTGGGAAAATCATCGAATTACTGCTCCCGTCTGGGTGAGGCGGGAGGGAGTGTCAGACTGCTACTGACTAAAAACCACCTCGTTCCTACTCCTGCCCTTCGAGCCGGAGCCCCGGTAACCCGTTAAGTCCTCCGCGGCACGGCGGTGCTCAGCCCACGCAGGGCATTGCCCTACTGTGTGTTCCACCGTGTCTTCAGGGCGGTCCTCGCAGTGATGAACATAATAATTGTGATGTAGAAGGTGGTGATGTTGCAGAAATGATCACAAAAAAACATAACTAATATCTATAAAGAACTTCCACAATGATCCCTCATAAAACATCAATACAAACACTAATTCATCCAAATAAAGCCACGTGTACCAATAACTATTTAAACCTGTGGAAATACAAACTAAAATGTTGAATTTCTTTGTATAAAGCTAACATTGCACGTTGCTATTCTAAAACTCGTATTCGCACCTAAGTTAAATGTGTGTGCCACCAGTTTCATAACTACTTTCCGACCAAACCAAAAGTTTCGCCTTTAAACCGACCATGTTCCGAAATACGGCCACGTGGACTGCATATTGCTGGAATTATACTCGTTGGTTGGGATAAGCTACGGATACAGCGTCAATTTAGTGATGAAATTGTAGGTACATTCTCTTTGTTTGCATAATGAGAAACTTCTGTCAAAATTTACTAATTACTTCATTTAAAAATACTTGGAAGGTTAACATAAGTTCGTAGGTACCAATTAGGAAAGCAAAACCGAATATCTACAAATAGAAATTACATGTTCCAAGTCCAAAATTAAACTAACAAAAATTATTTCAAAATGAATGTTAATATAATCATTCTATGAATAAACAACAGTACATTCTTTACCCGGCACCAACCTGCTAACCCTTCTAATGTAAATTAATTCCGATAAATGAAACTTCATAATACACCATTCACAATATTTAATTCAGCAATTATATAAAACAATATTTATTATTCAACTCCAACGTACCATTATGGTATTTTATAAACTTGAATAAGTCAATACTAAACCTACTGTTTCTATGCAAATGTCTGGCAGTTTGCTACCCGCGGCGTTACCATAAATACAGTATTTAAATATTCCAAAACAAGGACTCGCGGTGACATCTCCGTACGTCACGGCCTTGACCGGTTAACCCTTTTAATTAAAGCAAATAGATGCACGAAGCTAATTATTATAGTACTAGTTCTCTGCCCGCGGCTTCACACGCGAATTTTAAGGGGTAAATGTCCGCATACCAATTTTAAACTTTCTACCTTGAAAATTTTCTACTCCCCATTTTACGGAAGTGGGGATATTATTGAAAGAGATACAAAGTATAAAAATCACATCGTCGCTCTGTTTTGCCGTGAAAGACGGATAAATAAACATACACACATACACACTTTCGCATTTATAATTAGTAAGAATATAGATGTACATTATACAGGGGGTTGTAAAAACGATGAGACTGTTCGGCGGGTATGACAGTTCCCCGGCCAAGGTTACCCACAGGCCACGCGATGCGGACACGCCAATCACCAATGTCGCACATGCAAATATAGACGTAACATCTAAACATGTTTCGTATTGCGTGCTTAAAAAACTGGCAAAGTTTTTATTGTTCTATAATAACAACGAAAAGGCGAACGTGACCTTGAAGACTTTTTCCTTTATTATGTCGCCTGTGTTTTATTAATGTCGCACCCAATTACTGGGTTTACATTAAATAAACAAGGTTATTAAGGGTTTTAATTGTAATCTGTAAAAACTTGGAGTATTTCTACTCTATTACTGTAGTAGGAAAATGGAGTGTCAGGTAATGTGGACCAAATAAATGTCAACTCGTTCTTCCCCTCGTTTTTAATTTACTTTAGTGAGTTTCTTTTAAAGCTGTGACATTTATATCACTTTATTGAATTAAGTAATTATTCTTTTTAAGTACCTACAGTTTCTGCTGAAGTATGCCTTAAAAGTATTCTATGATGGCAGTATTCTATGATCTATTGTCATGAAAATAAAAGCGTTCAAAACTTTACACGACTCAATTTCACCTTGTACCTGGTCACGTGTCGATCTCATGATTAAAGTCTTAAAACTCGCTCCGAATCCGAAAACAACCCGCAACAAAATTTAAAGTAGATGCTTAAAATATTTTAACAGGCCACTGTTTACAGCAAAATAAATTAAATGTCAATATTGCTCTAACACCTACCAGAAAATTAGATTTCCAGGAAAATTAAGGACGACTCATGTCTAAACAAGGAAATAATCTTCATCGTGATAATAATTCATTACGTTATAACAACAACAATTTATTAAGAAGACAACCACTGACAGATAT